GTCAACTCTGTCAAGAAAGAGTCTGCGTGGGCTGCACATGGCCAAGTTACCGAGGCTTTCTTGACCCTTGCCCGGACCCAGCATGCTGAGGGTATCCTGGATCCTGAAGTGCAGATCGGATTAGGCGTGCTCTTCTATACAAACTCAGAATTTGATAGAGCAAAGGACTGCTTTGGAAGTGCGTTGCAAGCGCGGCCAAACGTGAGTCGGTTTGTTGATGAAACTTCAAGTTTTGTTAATGGTCGTTTTCAGGACTATCTTCTTTGGAATAGATACGGGTCATCGCTGTCGAATGGCAGCAAGCCGGAAGAGGCTTTGGGAGCCTATCGCAATGCCCTCAATATCCATCCGACGTACACCAGGGCAATTTACAATGTCGGTGTTGCATGTGCGTCGAAACAATCATCAATATTATCATGTTTCTGACATCATCTCAAAGGCCTCAACATTGGTGCTTACAAGGAAGCTGCGGAGCATTTTCTCAGTGCCTTAAACATGCAACAGACGAACAGTAGTGAGAATGGTGCAAAGGGAGACACCAATGATCAACTCTGGTTTACGCTCCGTCGTGCATTCCTTTCGATGGTACGCGGCCTCTTATATAACTAAAATTTTGGACTTATATATCTCTACCAGGACCGTTCCGATCTGGTTGCTATGACACATTCAGAGAATAATCGTCCAAGCTTAGATGTATTCCGTCAGGAGGGGTTCGATTTCTAGAGATTGTATATGCGGATCTGTGTTCACCCACTAACCAATCACATGCTCTCTATTTGAAGAACCTCTTCGGAAACGCGCCGGCCCGGAGAAGATGTCAGTTAAGAGCACGGGGCTTCAGCCTTTGAGATCCCATCGATAGTTCTCATACTTCTTCCTCAAATCTCATCAATGGCAAGCGGCGACGTACAAATGTAGCTCCCTTTGTCTCTACTTCGGTTGCGATTACTTACTGCCTTGGTTGCAAAAGACACACTGTGCCAAAGCCTTCAGTTATCGCAGCTGATGCAAAGCTGAACAAGATATCATGTCAACTCACCCAGAACGATGCCCGGGGCGGAGCTCAAGCAATGCGTAAGAACTGGAAGTCCTTATTAGTCACTATACTAAGCCATGCAAACCATCAACCTAGTCTACGCGGTCGGGCTGACTGAGCAAGATATGAACAAGCCCCAGGTACCATTGCCGCGATCCGAGTCATTTGAGAACTTATGCCTATGCACAGATAGGGATATCTCCCATCTGGTGGGAAGGTACACTCTTATACACATACAATAAGCTCGTAGCAAGCTGACAATTCCGGCATATTCAGGCAATCCTTGCAACAGCCATCTGGTACAACGATTCTCAAGCGCTGCCAAGGCACTACACTCATAGAATATCTGTGCAGCTCGATTTAGCAAGCAAAGTCAAGCAGGGATGTGGAGAGGAAGAAATGGTTGGTCTCATATTCAACACAATCGGCGTGTCGGATGCAATCACCATGGGCACAGACGGTGAGCATTAAAGGCAATAGAATCAGTCGGTTAACTCATTAGCATTAGGAATGAGATACTCGTTGAGTGGGAATCCATTTCAAAACCTGTCACACTTGTTGATTGCTGTTGTTGCAGTCTCCCAAGCCGAGACATTATCGCGGACTCCATCGAATCAGTAAGTGCTGGATGCATAAGGGAGATATGGAGACTGACGAAACGTGTTAGGTCATCATGGTCCGTCTAGAATCGCGCAAGGGGTTTCTTTTTTGCAATTACTCACACTTCGGCAGGCCCAACATTATGATGGCAACATCTCTATCCCTGGATGTGACAAGAACATGCCCGGCTGCTTCATGGCAGCAGTGCGCCATAATCGCCCAACGATAATCGTCTACGGAGGCACCATACAACCGGGAACTCGTCACGTAGATTGTCCTGAAATGGGCTTGAAGAAAGGTGGCACTGTAAATATCTCAGATGCGTTCGAGTCATACGGTTCGATGAGATCCTTGTGTTTGTTTTGCGATCATGATTAACACTCGTGGCAGGTGCTTTCTCTGTGGGAAAGATAAACGACGAGCAGCGCTTTGATGTTGTTCGCCACGCTTGCCCTGGTGCCGGGGCCTGCGGAGGCATGTATACTGCAAATACTATGAGTTCAGCGCTTGAAGTTCTCGGCATGTCTCTGCCTTACTCTTCTAGCACGCCCGCTCTGTACCCTGGTCGGTGGCATAGCATATACGTTTGTACTCTGCTAATTTAGTTCTTTAGGAAAGACACAGGAATGCATCAGAGCTGCTGGGTATTTGAAGAAGCTTCTGGCGATAGACCTCAAGCCTAGGTTTGTCGCGAATGCTGTGAACCATCGAGAAACTTATCCGCTTTGATAGGGATATTGTCACTCGGCAGTCGTTTTTGAATGCCATCGTACTGATCAACATTCTGGGTGGTTCCACAAATGCGGTAAGTGGTCGAGATCCGCTGTTTTCTTGCACTAATTTTATCCCAGGTTCTTCACTTGCTCGCCATGGCTCGATCTGCGGACGTGGAGCTGACTATCGACGACTTCCAAGTCATTTCGGACAAGACACCATATCTTGCCGACCTCAAGTAAGATCCACCGAACCGCACTTTTGATTCATGCTTAAAACACAACTAGACCATCTGGCAAATACTACATGGAAGATGTCCATCGCATTGGAGGAATCCCAGCCCTTCTAAAATATTTACTTAATCACACCGACCTCATCGACGGCACCCAAATGACAGTCACCGGAAAGACCCTGGCGCAGAATCTCGAAGACATCGAGGAGCTAGAGTTCGAAAAACAAGATGTAATTAGGAAGTTGGAGACGCCTCTCAAGAAGAGTGGCCACATCACAATCCTGCGAGGCAACCTTGCTCCTGGCACGGCTGTGGCGAAGCTGACAGGCCAGGAAGGTTCAAGATTTGAGGTTCGTCAGACCTGCGCTGAAAGACCATCAAAATTAACAACTGGGAAATAGGGAGAGGCCAGATGCTTCGACAGGTATGGCGGGCGGTAACTGATCCTTGATCATCTCTGACATCGAGTTCCCGCAGTCTTGATGGATTCTACCCAGCTCTTGCAGCAGGGGAGATCAAACCCGGGATGGTTCTTATATTCCGATACCAAGGCCCCAAGGGAGCTCCTGGAATGCCAGAGGTAAGTATTCCTTCACCGAAAGATGACAGTGAAGCTTACTACGACCTAGATGTTAGGTGAGAGATTCGTATAAAACGCGCCGAACCTTCTAACATGCATTTTCACATGCGCATAGGACCAACTGGGGCCCTTATGGGCGCAGGGCTTGGAGATAGCACAGCGCTGATTACAGACGGACGGTTCTCAGGAGCCAGTCGTGGTTTCATCATCGGGCACGTAGTTCCCGAAGCGCGAGTGGGCGGACCAATCGCGTTAGTCAAGGACGGCGATCGTATTATCGTTGACTCGGAAAAGCGAGCTATAGACTGGCTGGTAGACGACGAGGAGCAAGCACGTCGAAAGCAAGAGTGGAACGAATCCGACAAGGGCCAGCTCAAGGAGAAACGGGGTGTGTTGTTCAGATACGCTCGCGATGTTGCTGTGAGTAGCCAAGACTTGCTGTTTTGTCGCTTGCTGAAAGTCTTCGCGCAGCCTGCAAATGTTGGAGCATACACCGATTGAAGAACAGTTGTCGGCACGGCCAGAGGCAGATAATTACCAAAATGTAGAATAAATGAACGTTGTACAATTTGTTGAATCGATATATAGTAACGGAACCTTAGGACGAGGCGTGAGGGTCTTGTCCGTCCGACAGTGGCTCAGTCGCAGTATGGGCGAGCCCATTTGGGCTAGCCAACTCAATTCCGTTTCCCCCATCTGTGGACGTGGATTTGACGTGCTTGTGGTGCTTAAACCTATGCTTCTCCTCCACGATAACTCGCTCGCCCGGCTGTCGCTGACCGAGTACTACGGCGGGGTCGGGAGGTATGATGTATTTCTCGGGAGGTGGAATGACTGGTCTAGGAGGTTTCAAACCGGCTGCAACTTTCTTCTCTCTTATCTTTTCTCTCCGTTGGCGGACGAGGCAAGAGATGAGCGATAACGTCCAGCCCAGCACGAGAAAGAAGCCGCATATTGTCCCTGCTATGATTGGGGTTTTGGCGAGGTGACTGTGCTAGGAATAAGTGGACTAGATGACGCAACCGAAAGGCAAGCATACCCTTTCAGAGACGCAGCTTCAGAGGATGTCTCGGCGCGAGCCTGCATCGTCTGCGTCCAGGTTGCTGTATGAAGGGGCGGGATAAGAGAGCGTTTCCAACGAGGGCCGCGACGACTATACGCACATTCCATTCCAAATTATCCGGAAGAGCGATACTGGATTGTCTAAGAACTGAGGTTTGACAAGGTGGTCGAAACAGTGAGAAGCCGCAAACGGCGCGCTCGGGGGTATTGGGTATTAGTTCGACCCTCGGCGCCGCGGCACGTGGCTGATCACACCGGGTGCACAGAAGGATCTGCACTACGAAAAGATGTTGGAAAGATGCTGGAATTTGTTTTGTGTCTTCTTGTGTATCTGTCGGGGATAGATATGGAGCATAACATTCAGAATTTGTGTGAAGATCATCTATGTGCCCAGATGCTGCCACCTACTGTATGTCTTTTGTGTCAAGAAATTTTGATTGAATATGTTTTGTCTGTCGCATGTAGAGATCTAATTATCAATTTAAAATTGCTTGCCATGTCTGGCTACCCTCCAACATATCAACTGATTTTGAGTCATTCTTTTGTAATCTGACTGTCATTTCTTCTGTTTTTATCTGGAATTCAAACTAGCTCACTCTATATTCTTACCCTACAAATGCAAAAACAGAAGACAAAAGAGTAGCAAAAGATGATCGGCCCCGGGATCGATCCGAGTACCTGATACGCAGGAGCTAGATCGATCCCGGGGGCAAGGGGCCACGCGCCAAATGCGCCATGGTATTACATACGGCGACGCGCGAATAAAATAAAAACAATGATACCTGCCAGCATCGATCTGGCCACCTTCAGTGTGTTAGACTGATGTGATAACCATATACACCAAGGTACCGATGGATGTGATATATATTTAATAGATTAAACTCAACGAATTGAGTACCTTATGTCATCAAAGTCGCCCCGTGATCTATGATGCTGGAACAAAAGTGATTTCCAAGTTTCCGACGTCATTCTCAGTACCAAAGCTCTACCCGGCACGTCCTCACAGCCACAATTGTTAACTGTTAGACTGACGTGATAACCATTTACACCAGCCGACCATAAATATTGAATTGATAGTAACAATATTGTCATACAAGGCCCTCAGATAGACATAATCTGTTTAATAAGTAAACTTACTAAGTATGGAACTATGTCAAACTCCTGGGCATGCTTTTGAAGTTTGCCTGCTGTTCGGTAAGTGTCAAACTTATGTCGAGGCAACGGAAGTTAGACTCACGGTGTGACGGCTGTGAGCGCCGACAGGAGGATCCCTGGATCAGTGGTCTAGCGAGCATAGGCACTGGATGGGCAAGGGCCCCTGAGGGGACTAGAGCCCTCTCGGGAGCCCCGTACCCTGGTGGTGGACGGTGGCGAGTCGAGTGGCGAAGGGCCGAGAAGCTGACTGACGGACCTAGCAGAGAAAGCTCTGCTGAGGCAAGGAAAGAGACTGGAAGGGAGAGAGACGAGGCGAGTGCTGACGAGACGGGACTTGAACCCTGGCGGACCGAAACCGAGACCTACGCTGAGAGCGCAACCGAAACCAAACCAAACCACAGAATCAAGGATAATATAGAGGATGATGTGTCTACAGTGGCTGTGCTAGTACTATAAGCTACTGTAGGTAAACAAATGTAAACAACTGGTGGCACAAGATTCTAAGTACCGCCACATGTGTTACACATGGCATGCAAGTGCCCAGGTACGTGTGGAGACGGAGCAGCGCGTCGACTGGGCACCTCGTGCGTGCACGGACAGCAGTGCTTGCAGCGTCGGCCATGGCTGCGAGCCCAGAGCGTGGTGGGACGGCGGCGACAACGCGAGGCACGATGGTGCGAATTGTCGATGGGATGACAGCGGGACTTGGTTGGGGGTGCGGAGACTCAGCCAGCCGCGGAGTTGGATGGCACTCACTGCCAGGCTGCAGCGTCGATTGGGCCTGTTGACTTAGCAGTCCTGATGGTGGTGCGCGCTTGCGCAACATGGGGAATCGGACAACAGTAGGCGCGAAGTCGATGCGGCTCATACAAAATTGATCCTTACGCGCTTCGCAGCCGCGGCCGGTGCCCCGACCGTCATCGCCACTGTCACCATCACCATCACCAAGCGTGATGTGGTCCCTCCACATGTGACGTGTGTGACAAGGGGTCACGGGGGTATCGCATTGTAGGAAGCGCCACGTATTGTTTACGGTTGTTTATAGTCGCGAGCCGCGTTCAACACGCGCCTCGCATAGTAGTTGATCATCATCTTATATCATTGATTCTTTTTTCATTTCCTTTGTATTCCGATACTCTTGCTAATTCTCAGCCTGCTGCTCGTATTACTCGCTACAGTTCTCCATTAGCTGTCGTATCGTCGCTCTCTCGCGCCCCAAGGAGTCAGGAATCCTGCTCCTTTAAGAGTCCAATAGTCCAGCGGTTACGCGGACTGGACTCTAGCGGAGTTCGCTCTCACGACTGCTCAGTGCCCACCAGCTCGATTCTCTCGTATCGTCGGCAGACGTTATCTCGCGAACCTAGCGTCGACACTCGTCGCAAGGTGGACAAATCCGGACCTCGTCCGGACGACGGAGAGAATCGCAACAAACGAAATTCAGAACAGAACAATACAACGTGTCCACCAACTCTTCAACGAATATAGAGTTATTCAAGAGCTTTGCAAGCACAGGAATCAGCAACAGCGCCCTGGCGTGGAGAAAGTCACCAGCCAGACCGCCTCTATTCGGAGTGCCTGATTCAGGCCCGCGCCCAGCTGGGGGCAGAAGTACCAGCGCGAATTCGTCGACACGAAGCGTCTCTACTTCGATGCCGTTAAAGTCATTACCGTTGGAGACGCCACCACCCGCGGCTCCACGAAGGTCGGAAAGGAAGGGACCGTCTAAAGAGTATGCCATGTCAATCTTGGCCGACATTCAAAGGAACTATCATATGGAGACGGACGATGACTACTCGCTCTTTCGGCGAGCTTGCCTGCTGGTACGACGACCAGCTCTGAGCCCGAGCGATGTCGTGGATCGAGGGGTGGATGCGGGTGACCCTAATCGACCATGCTATACGCTCAGAAGAGAAAGATTGGAGGAAGTGGAGACCATCACGATGCAAATGCAGGATTTGGTGAATGCTGGCTTCGAACAGTTACCTGAGGCACAGAATGTGAAGGCGTACGTAGTGGACCCTAAGGGACTGATGCTGAGGACTTTAAAGGGCACGTCTTCATTTTTCGAGCTACAGACTTCTTATAACGCTCTGGTCTCTCGAGTGGAGAGAGCCCAAAACATATTCGCGAAATACGTGGAAGTATATCAGGGACGTCAAGAGCTACTCTCGCCCTCAGCCACAGACCCAGCCGTATACGACGCCTATGAAGAAGATGGAGCCAATTTCGATTCGATAGCCGACGCTCTTCACCGAAGAGTCCCGAGCCTGAGACGTGGGTTAACCGAGGAGACTAGGAGACGGTTGGATGCTGGAGAAAGTCTGCGCAGTGTACTTCCGTCACCGGCGCTCTTCAAAGAGGCTTTTCCGCCTCGGCAGCCAGAAGAAGACCCTCTTGCGTTTTCGTACGATAGCAAAGGACAGAAGACGTACGCCTTGGAGGGAGACGGCGATTATGAAAGAGAGGTGCCTATAGTGCAACTGGAGGAGAAACGCGCTCGCATAGCCGAACCTCCCGTAATGCCCTTCACTCCCGCTTACAGTGAGTCAGGAGTAAGGGTGGATGATTCTGTCTCGAGTCTTAGAACGGGACTAGGGGTGTACCGCCCCAACTCTACTTTGTCAGCCGCGGACAGCCAATTTTATTCCGCTCCCCTGACGAATAGAGACTCGACGCCCAATCTATGGGAGAAATTCACGTCAGGAGGGAGTAATACGGTTATAGGAGCAGCTTCAGTGGCTCGACCCGCATGGACTCATAGTAGAATGCCCAGCCAATCGAGAACGGACAAGTACGGAATGGGAGAATCGTTACCTTTCCGTCCTCAGATTCCAAGGTTTCCGATGGGCTCTGCGCGGGACCGGCCCCCTCATATGGCTGCTTCGCCTGACGCTACGCTCGCGAGAGCATACAGCAACGTTGCAACGCCGGTAGACCCGACTAGGCAAGGCGCGTACGAGGCCTATAGAATGGGAACTCTGGGTTTCGGAGGAGGTTCCTCAGCTCCCCCTCCGCCCCCTCAGCTACCTGGCGCTCCCACTCCTAAATATGGAACGGGGGGCGAAGGACCCCCTCCTTCCGCAGGAAACAACAATGAAGGAAGTAACGGAGGAGGGCCGCCGAATATTCCTCCCGGAGGAGGAGCGGGGGGCAACCACGGGCCTCCAGGATTCCCTTACGGCGGAGGCGGACCTCCGGGACCCCCTTCCGGTAGTGGAGGAGGGCCGCCTGGTCCCCCTTTTGGGGGAGGTGGTGGCGGACCTCCAGTGCCCATCTATGGAGGAGGCGGAGGACCTCCAGGACCTCCTTTCGGAGGAGGAGGAGGCGGAGGACCTCCAGGACCCCCTTTTGGAGGAGGCGGAGGACCACCGGGTTTTCCTTACGGAGGCGGAGGACCCGCGCCAGTAGGATTTCCTCCCTATTTTCCTGGATACGAGAGAGGACCATCTATAAAGCAGGAACTGAAGCCCGAGCAGTTGCCTACTTGGGACGGGAAGTATGAGACAGCCATTCTCTATTTTCACCAATTGCAAGAATTCGCGGCACTGGGGGGCAGTATTCCCGAAAGAATGGGGTTCTGGCTATGGCAGACGCTGAAGCCAGGAACCGCAGTAGCAGGATGGTACGCAGCTCTTCCCTCGGATATGAAACAATGGATGAGAGGACATTACCTCAACTACGTGGAAACTATCCGACATTACTTCTTAGGGCGCGACTGGCAACAACATGTAGAGCTCGAATATCAGCATCAGAGCTTCCGACAAGCGGGACACGAGCTAGAATCGCCGCATGAGTTTATTATGAGGCGTATTCTATATACAAGAATGTTGTTGCAAGTGACGCCCGACTCTCATGAGGAGGTATACTACATCTGTCGGCGGAACCCTACGTCCTGGGAGAGTTTGTTAGTAAGGGATCACATTCCAAACACGGCTACGCTGCAGCTACGAATGAGGGAACTGGAGCTTCCACTGGTGGACGCCTGGGCCAAGAGTCGCGGAAACATAGTCACTTCAGATAATCTCCTCTCAGTTCTGCAAAAAGCCGGAGTGAATTTGAACATGAATCGATCCAGGCCTTCTTATCCCTCGTACAGGAGAGGGAATACCTCGGCGTCAGCTACGGCTCATAACGCGGAAGGGAGCGTGGAGGAACCGGAACCCTATGAAACCGGAGAGGCAATCGGAGAAGAGCTGCCCGCAGACGAAGCAGTCATCCATCAAGCTTACGCCACTATGAAGAAAGAACCGCCGCCCTCCCGTCGAGGTCCGTTCCCGTTTTCTAGACGAGACGAAGTCAATACTTCCATGCCCAGACTGCCAGCGTGGCCTTGCAAAGCTTGCGGGAGCAAGAATCATTGGGATAGGGAGTGTCCGCATTGGGACGTTTTCCAGACCAAGGTTAAGCATGCGAAGTGGGTGGAAAAGAATGACGAACCGGAGGACGTGAATATATACTCTCAGGTGTACCAGGCGTTGAGGACTCAATATATCTCTACTAACTATGTTGACGAGGAGGAGATAAGCAAGCTGAGTTTGAAGGTAAGCGCCAGAAGGGTCTCCGTTCTCGCTACCATCCCTGAGGAGACTAGTGACTACCCGAGGAGAAGAGCCTCGGTAATGGAGATAGAAGATGAGGATGAGAGAGCTGCGGCGGATAAACCTAAAAGCCGAACGGAAGCGCTCTTGGAGGACG